AGAGAGATAGAGTAATTATATACTCGAAGATGTATGAGCTATTCAGCTCCCTCTAATATATATACAGATGAATATATTGTACCTCGTTATCAATTTTAATATACCTCATTATTAGTTACAACATAACCCAAAGTGCGTTATGTCAAAAAATTCATTTGGGTTCATATATATCTACAGATAGAGCTTCTGATCTATTTGAGAGAACATACTTTATTTATATTACTCCCTCCGTTTCTATTTAGTTTGCATATAAGGTTTGGTCAAAGTCAAGCTTTGTAAAGTTTGAGTAACTTTATATTAAAAAATATAAACATTGACAATATGAAATCAATATTATCAAATGCACCACAAAATGTATTTTCATTCTATATAGTTTTAATATTGTAGATGTTCATTTTTTTATATAAATTTGGTCAAACTTTGTGTAGTTTGACTTTGACCAAATCTTATATGCATGCGGAGTAAAAAGAAACGGAAGGAGTACTGCTCAGATGTGAAGTGCAATATGGAAGGCTGAATTTTTGGGTAGGCATGTTTGGTCGTTTCTTTTGGTCATCAAAAATACCGTGCTGGTATAGTTACATGCTATATTGCCCTTATGTATACCCTGTATAGACGCGGGTAATTATCAAAACTTTGTAAATCAGTTGCCAGAATTAAGGTAGTCAGTATATTATGCATGTGTTGTCAGTGGTTACACTCAACATGTGCAGTTTTCTAGATTTGAGAATAATTTGTAACATGTGAGTAGTTGTGTCAATGGATATTTTTTTGAAAAGGTGGACATCCCTGTCCTGTGCATCAAAATGATGCATACGGCCATTTTATTTAAACGAAACAAAGTGACACAAGGTCTGAAATCCAGTATAGCTCACAGCAGGATCAAGACTCGAAAATGAAAATCTGAAAATAACTTAAAGCCACAACCAGCTAAACATAGGACTAGATGGCTAAATACCTATCCCATTAGTGGACGGCCATCCAAACCGCTTGTATATATATCCCGTGCTACCGTCTCCCGCTGATTGCACCCAGTAACCAACAGCTCCCTGCAGTCTGTATGAGTGACTAACGACCACGTACGGATCCAAGCAGTAACTCTGAAGATAACCTGCAAAAAAATTAATAAAGTTCTTTCTATTAAAAATCATATCATTTATGCAGTTCCATATATCCCAGAGTAATGCGCATATTCCTATCCAGATACGTCCCGTGATAATAGGCTCTACCCCAGTTAGCCATGTCCCAAACAACATGTCAATGCTAATTGAAGGGTTAATGTTAAATGTTATATGAATCATGCACCAGAGGAGCTTGGCTAGGGAGCAGTCAATGAAGAGATGCTGAATTGTTTGATCTTGGTCACAAAAACAACATCGAGGACTACCAACCCATCTTCACCTCAGAAAATTATCCGTTGTAAGAATCACCTCCTTATGGACAAACCACATGAAAATCTTGATTCTCAGCGGAACTTTAATTTTCCATATATGCATTGTTCTCGGGATTGGGCCAAAATTAAGTAAATCCAGGTACATAGAGTTCAATATAAATATACCGTTCTTAGTTAAATTCCATTGAAACGTGTCTGGCTGGTCCAAAAGTTGAACATCCATCAGCCTTCATACCAAATGTAACCAGGAAGTCCAGCGTTCCCCCATAAGGGATCTCCTGAATGGAATATTCAGTGGAGACGAGTTTAATACTATAGAAATGTAAGCCTCCTTACATTGTATAATACTATATAACATAGGATACTGAAGTGCTAGGGGCAGATCTCGTAGCCAGGTATCCTCCCAAAATCTGGTAGTTCTACCGTCTCCAACAATAATTTTTACTCTACGAAAGAAGGTGTCTTTCTTTCTCATTAGCCCCTTCCAGAAATCATTAGGTCTTACGGTTACCTGGGCTAGGGATTTAGTCTGGAGGTATTTGTTACGAAGGATCTGTGCCCACATACCCTCAAACTTGGTAAGCAACCTATAAAGCCATTTGGTAAGTAGGCATTTATTTTTAATTTCCAAATTCTCAATCCCTAGACCTCCTTAGTCTTTGGGACTGCAAATGATATCCCACCTGGTTAATCTATACTCTGTCTTAACCTCATCACTTCGCCAGAAGAAACAAATCGATAGAAATCTAACCTTTTAAGTACCCCTACAGGCACTTCAAAGAAAGATAGAAGGAACATAGACATACTTGTTAATAACGAATTTATTAACACGAGCCTACCTCCATAAGACATAAGGTTGCCCTTCCAGCAGCTTAGTTTTTTTTTGAATCGATCCTCAAGACATTTTCATTCTTTATTGTAAAGTATTCGATGGTGAATTGGAATCCCTAGGTAATGAAATGGCAAAGAGCCCACTTCAGAAATGAACAATTGTCTATGGGCATCTTGTTCCTCTTTAGCTCACCCAAAGCAGAACAGTTCACTCTTGTGAAAATCAATTTTTAGACCTGACAATTGTTCGAAGAGGCAAAGGACCAGTTTCATATTTCTAGCCTTTGCAAGGTCATGTTTCATGAACATGATAGTGTTTTCCGTGTATTGTAAAATGGATATGCCCCCATCAACTAGATGAGCGATGAGACTACCTACCTGGCCATTATCCTTAGCCCTACCTATCAGGACTGCCAACATGTCTACCACAATGTTGAACAAGACCGGGGATATTAAATCCCCTTGTCTTAAGCCTTTATAGGTCTGGAAATAATTACCAGTGTCATCATTCACTTTGATCCCCATGCTATCTTTTTGGATAAAAGAGTCAACATGTCTCCGCCAGGATTCTGCAAACCCCTTCATACGCATAGCCTGTTGGAGAAAGGGCCATTTGACCTTATCATAACCTTTTTCAAAATCCACCTTTATAGTTGTGAGCCTGAGCGCATAATGGCTAATTCTACACTCCGGCAGGACTTAAACGCACCACCTGGCCGAACAAACTAATCATTATTCAACTCCTGGTAAACTCCCTTGCAAAATAAAGTGATGGTATTAAATTCATTACCGGCTGCATGCATCAAACCTCCGCGTCGCGTCGTACTATCTATTCACCAAACCTCTCCTGATAAATTCCCTTGCAAACCATAGTAACAAAATTAAATTCGTTACTGCACTACACATCCCCATCCATTCCCGTACTAGCTATTCTCCTTAATACCTTCTAGTAAAATACAGTGGAAACACAGTAACAGAGTTAACATCATTACGGACAACCTGCACTAGTATTCCGTCACGCACTAACATAATTAAAATGGTTACCACTGCATGCACCAATCCTTCGCCACGCATGCATGAATCCCCGCAGCCCCTAATTCTACAATTACCGGATGCATGCATGAATCCCCGCAGCCCCTAATTCTACTAGTAAATTTCCTAGTACATCCTTACCAGATGCATGCTAGTACTAGTACTGCCTACTCTTTGTAAAATCATCAATGATTAGGAAGAAGATGAAATTGGCATGTCGTATCGTAAAAGGGTGTACAGACTGATAAAACTTTATTAGGTCCTTTTACAAGAATAAATTGATCTTTCTATGTATTGCTCAAATTTTACTATAAAATTATTGTGTTACTACATATTGCTTAATTTGTGTGTTTACACTAGGGGAGGTTTGTATGGCGTGCGTTGGTTGTGCTGGACTGCTGGCTAGAATCGTAACGTGCGCGTGAAGTTGGTTCGAACGGCTGCCTGATTAGTGCGTGAAGTTGGAGCGTAGAATAAGAGTAATGCGCTCAGGGTCATGCAGATGAACTCATCAGGCTAACTGCAAGGCCACCCTCGGCAGATGCAAGAGCAATGTCACCCTCGGCCAGGGCACTCGAAGAGCGATCTCGTCAACAACCACAAGTACTCATCTGCATTTTTCTGATGGTCTGTTTAATTTGATCCTCCTACTAACAAGCAATTGTTTGGTTTTTAGAGTCTTATGCCTTTTTTTTATAATAACTAGCACAGCGGCCCGCACCACTGCAGCGGCAATATCTTTAATTATTTTAAAGTTTAGATTATGCCTTATGAAATGATGACCCTGAAAAAAATGCTATTACAGTTTTTTTTCTTTTCTATCATAATATAGCATTCTAATTTCAGAAGAAATAGAACATGTCATCAATCATCAATCAGTAATTTTGAAGTGAACTACATATGGACTTGCACGTAACTTTGATTTTTTTACATCTTATGTCGATTTCTCTTTTATATATGTGTTTTGATTATTAAATTAATTCTAGGCTACCTCTGAATTGGCCGTAGCTTCGTCATGTGCTGTGACAAAATTTATGTCAATAACATTGGATAACAAATACACTGCGGCCGGCCAATTTCATTTCCACTGCACACTTCCTATGTGTATAGTGGTGCATCTTGTTGTTTTCTTTTCTCTTCTCTTCAATTTGATAACGTAAATTACGTATGGTCTAAATTCATGATTTGGCT